AAGCCATAACCAGCTGACGTCAGGACTTCGAAGCTGAGCAGAGAAGCGATAAAGGAAGATCTGAAAGAGAAAAAGAGCAGTAGTTTCGACTTAAGCAGCAGAGGATGGGAAGAGCATTCGCAAAACCCGACGGAGTTCCACCAATTACAGGACCTAGATGACTTCACTTCGTCGCTCTGACGGAACTGTTACTGCATCTCGAAGGGCAATGGAGAAGATCATCTACGACTTCTACTCTGATCTCTTTGACTGCCGCATCTAATTGCCTACCCTCCATCTTAGGCAAGACGAATATGTCGTTACTTCGGTTCTCCTTTCCGAAACTCGACGTGCCATCATGTCGATGAAGAATGGTACAGCACCCGGTTTCGACAGGATCAGAGCAGAACATCTAAATAGCCTTCCGCCAGCCATTGTCAAAACCCTGGCCCGGCTTTTCACGCGGTACCTGTCGCAATGCAAAGTGCCCACGTCGTGGAAAACTAGCAGGACTATGTTGCTGTATAAGAAGAGATTTAGTTGACATTGTCAATTATCGTCCAATTCGCCTGCTGTCTAAAACCTTTGAGCTTTTCAAAAACGTCATCCTGAACAAGATTGGCAAAATAATAGATGAGGGCCAGCCATGCGAGCAAGCAGGGATTCCGAGAGACTTCAGTGCAATCGATCATATCCACACTCTTACAAGGCTCACTGAAGTATTGCGAGAGTAAAAAATGCCGTGAAAATGCAGTGAAAATTACGTTTATAGAGACTTCGATACCGTCGAGACAAAAGCGGTAATCGGAGCTTTGGGGAACCAGGGTGTTCCTACTCACCATGCAAGGATGCTTCGTGAGCTCTACAGCTTCACGACAAGGATCTCGCTATTCTATAAAGAAGTCGTCAACAACGTGAGGAGAGGGGTTCGACAGGGCGATATCATCTCGCCTAAACTTTTCAGTGCCGCTCTCGAGAACATCAAGCATCATATGGAATGGGAAACGGCCGCTACTTACATCATCTCCGCTTTGCAGATGACATCGTGCTTATAACACCCAACATCGAGCAGGCGGAACAAATACTGGCCGTGTTGGACGACGCTTCAGGGAAAGATCGGATTACGACTGAACCAAACGAAGACTTTGTTAATGCGAAACGGATTGATACCTGATGCTCCTTTCACGCTGGAAGGTAGGAATATCTCTGAATGCTCCAGCTATGTGTATCTAGGTCGAGAAGTCAACATGATGAACGATCCAGCTCCGGAGCTGAGCAGTTGGAAACGCGAGGCGTGGGGATCATTCAATAAACATCGGGGGAGAGTGAAGAGGGCAAAGAACACCCGCCTCCGCGCTCACCTTTTCGATGCTGCGGTCCTTCCTGCTTTTACATTCGCCTCAGAGACTTGAACTCTACGAAGGCAGGATGAGCATACAGTTAGCGCCAATCGCGAGCTGTGGAAAGGACGCTGCTCAAATTTTCCCTACATACACAAGTGCAAAGAAAAGCCGGAGTCCCGAGCTTCGTCGACGAACGTCGAGCGGAACGTTACTTCGGAGGTCAAACGAACACCAAGACGACCGCCGACCCGATGGTCGGACTATTTTACGAAAGCGAATGGAATGTATTCACCCGTGTCTCTCGAGTAAGTACGATTTACTGGACTTTTCTGACCCGCGACAGGGACGAATGGAGACGTTACCGGCGGCTGCTCGAGGAAATCGATGATCAACGGGACGACAGGTGATACAGGTGATGGGTGATTTCGAACAAACCTTGTCCTTGAACCAAGCTGGATTGGAATTGGATCTGTCGGGGTCGAAAATCAGTGCATGAAGAATCGCGAAAAGGAGCAGCAACATTGTCAGAGCAGCACTGAAAAGGACTTCGAGGCTTATCGACCTTCACAGAAGAGCACGACTCCAATTTGTAAAACTGAATTTGGGAAGAGATTGGACAAAACAAGCCAGTATAACTGGTTAGCCATACTATCAAATATTTTCATTCAGGTCGTATTTTCCGATGAAAAGAAATTCAATATGGACGACCCTGACGGTTACAATCAATACTGGCGCGAACTGCAAAAAAAAGGTGACCAACTTCAGCCGTCGTGATTTTGGGGGAGGAAGGGTCATGGTGTAGGGTGCCTTTTGCAATCATAGCGTGCTGGAGCTTGCCTTCGTAATCCCCAAAGAATGGGCTCCAGGGATCACAAGATAGTCTTGCCATTACTTGGCCGGCGGCTTCGTCTTAATCATGTTTTCCAACATAACAATGCTGCAATCCACGTTACTACTATAGTTCCACGGAAGGTCACATTCCCGAAATATAGAAGATCTGCCTTGGCCAGCTTGCAGTCCTGGTCACAGCCAGATGGAAAACACTGTGAGAAGGATTTGTGCGAACAACATCAATTTGCAAACAACAGAAGAGCTGAAGCTGGCGATAATCAAAGTCTGGGATAAAACCTCCAGTGTATGGAGGATGGCCACATTGATTCAAGATATCTATTTGTTGACGTCAAAATCTTGTAGCTTCGTTCAAGGAAACTTCTAAAATAAGAAAAAGTTGTTAGAAGCTATCGGAAAAGGCGGCCGAATCTTTTCAATGGACGAGGCCAGAGACCTCGAGATGTCCAGTGCAGAGGTCAACGATTCATAGCTACGTTTGAAAATGCTCTTTGTCGTCAAGCATTCAGCACCCTTCAGCCTGACTGATAAATAAGAGTTCATACATGTGTTCTATGTGAAGGTGGTTAACTCTCACCTCTTACAGTGCTAGTCACTACTGTTATATAATACTATTCGTTACGTACAAAGGATGAAATTGCGAGTGCCTCAACAACATGCAGTGCTTTTGAACCGGTTTTAGTAAGCGTGCGAGCCGTATCTGAAGTGAGTATTGATCGATAAGAGAGACATAGCCCTAAGGTCTCGGTCTGCGTGTGGTTACATGCAATGAAATGAAATCAAGACCAAGGTCAAGGAAGAGACGAAAGCGATGGAACGAACAGTATGTGAAGTTCTGCTAACGCTCAAAAGATTCGAAACAAAAAACTGCGAATGTTGTAAATATTAGGAATGTTCGAAGAAGCGAGGATGGCGTGACTTTCGTACGACCTCTTTGCGCACAGTCTCCTATTGCGGCCGTTGCACTACATCTCACGCCCAAGGTCTCTCCAACGCTGATTGGATAGAGTGCCGCACTGGGTCCTACCGCGCAACTGCGTTGCAGCCTTTGAGTGCGTATCGGCGGACAGGAAAAGTTGGCCTAAAAAAAAAGAAGGCAGGCTTCGTCAGTCTCGACTCAAACCGCACACGACTCGGCTGAAGCTCTGCATGGTTCTCACCCCATCTTCGATATTTCCTCGCTAACCCCAAGCTATTCGTCCGCAGTCCGACGTCAGTTATTCCTACTAACTTTTCTACGGAATCGGACGATCACAGGATATGCGCAGTCTCTATCAAGGACCGGCAAGCTGAGGATTGTTCCACACGACCACGGATGAGGTTCATAATTTTGATGGTGACGGTATCCCGATCTCCCTCTGCGCTGCTTCCATTCCCTGGACAGCCCCTGGTGCGCAGCCCGTGGAAGGTGGAATCCCGGTCGTCGTGTGGATAAATAGAGTGGGAACTCCTGCTCCGCTGCGAGTGGCGGCCGGAAGTGCCGAACGCCCCCCGGCTAACGCCACTACGCATGAGCAGGAGGGTCGACGCGCATTGACGACCCCTAGTAAGGTGAGGTACCATCCCGTAGGATTTTTTAGTGAAGCTCACCTTTGCTTTGTAATTAGGCATAAAGTCACTTATTTCTTTCATGTTTTGTTATGAAGCAAGAAGAGTATATCTCTATCTATTAAAATATCTTCTTTACTCCATCATGCGCATAGCACATCTCACATATATAAAGACCACATGATTGCTAACACTAGTCTTTCTGAATCATAATCTCTAAGCGCAGTGTCATGGGGATAGCGCAGGGGCGTGTTTAAGCGTAGGGCCACGAGGGTCGTTGTAACTGGATCGCAGGGACGCACATAACACCGAGGGGCACCGCACAAGGAAGAGGACCGCCAACACCGTGGCAAGGCAAGGTTAACAAACGCAGCACCCTTGTGCTCTTCGTGGAAGTCACGACGGCGTTCACTCCACAACTTCCTTCCATCATCGTGCCCCGGGGAGTGAACGCCCGTCGCGACAGAGGAGATTAGCATGTACCTTTGCCTCGCGTACAGTATGCACATCCACATTAACGTGGCCCTCCCACACTGCTCTGTGAAGCAGAGTTGCCTGATCGGTCACATTAACACTTGACCTTTCCTCTGCAGTACCGTTCCGGTAAACAATAGAAAAGGTTTCTTTACGCCATGCACCATGAGAGCTATCCTGTACATGCAAAACCTAGCAATTATGAAGCGTCGTCCGATTTCGGCACAGCACCTACATAAACAGAACGTTTCATTTTGATTCTCATATTCTTAATGATTCATGATCACGATAAATCAAATAGCATTGTGCTGCGAAGCATATGAGAAGTAGCACGCTAAAGGTAGGTGTATGGGGGTGTTAACTTGATAGTAACCTGGAAGAAATGTTAAGGAAGCGAAAGTAAAGAGGGCCAAATGTGGAAGGTCCGAGGTCGAAATAAATCTCACTCAAATAATAAGGGGTCGCATTGTGGTTACTCGATAAAAACGAATCGGTTGTCGGGGAATGATCTCTTGCTTTCAGTTCACTGTTCATTGACCAGACGCTCCAAGACTGCCCCCAAACAGTGATATGTTATAGTAATAATTGAGGTTCTTCACATTAGTCGAGAACACAAAGCTACAAAACCGTACTAGAAAATAATCAATTTGTCAGGCAGCGAAAATAGACTCGGCAGGTATTACCCTAGAGGCATTCGGATCCTGTGAGAATTCCTAGTAAAATGAAGAATATTACAGCCTGGTCATTACAAGTGCAGGTTCTCCTTTTCTTAGCGTCCAATTACAATCATCCAATTCATTCCAGTTCAATGACTACCTAGTTTGGTTTGAACACCGTGTGTTCACAATGAGCGAGACTGATTGTCATTATGACAGCTCCCTGCTAGAACTATTCTAAAGTTCGAAGCAGGCTATGAAAAAAGAGAAAGAAGCACCTCGCTCTCTAGGCTCTAACGAAGACAAGAAGGCTGATAACAATGAAGACTAGCCCAATAAGATTACCACTCTGACTTGATCTCGCAGGCACGTTCACGGCTACACTTTACTAGTGTATCACACCCACTCTAGCTCTCTTACCTAATCGGAAACACTATATTATTGAACCAGTTGAGCTATGCACGCAGGCGCAAGCACCATATGCCCACTGCCGCTTACCCACGACTCGTTAGAGTACCAATATAAGCAGTAACGGTTGACTTCCCATTTCATTCCTATCTCCTCACCGCTCTCACGTGACATTCACACTCTTCGTCGTGCCTACATGGCTTTCGTAACGACGCACAAACCGATCCACGAACAAACACACAAAGTTACCGCTTTATATACAGAGGGATGACTTCCACTAGACATGCGGCTTCTTAACTACTCCTAGTTATTCGAAATATATCAGTTTGATTCTCACAACTCGGCGTCCATTCAAACCATTAGTTTATCATCTACTCTTTTTTTTATTTGCGAGACGTTTTGAAGGTAGATATAGATGTGTACTGCAAACATGGCGGCGTCAAATTTGAAATGAACTGCAAGCTATGCAGAAAAGCATAATGGGAAGGGCAAGGAGACCATCACACTGCGGGAAGGAACCTTGAACCTTCAAAGTGAAAGTCTCCGACTGTGTGATTTCGCATATAGGCCTCAATTTTATGGTGCAGATAGAAGGATTCTCTATCTTTCGAGTATCACATAGAATCGTACTCACTATATGCATGCAAAACAAGTTTGTTTCATCACGATAGAACACCACCTACAGAACTTAAAGGGAAGTGCGAGAGACCATGTGCTTTAAATTTGTCCCATTCATGACAAATAACGATGACTCATAAGGTTGCCTTACTATCATGTACAAAATGAGCACATCGATCTGTCGGCCGCTGAAGATTGGCAGAGAATCTGGAAGAAGAGTGACCCCGAAATGACAACGGAAACTTCAATGCATTCAACGATTTCCGCTGAATGGCGAA